GTTTATAAGCTATTTCTATTTACCAACTTAATAATTGATAAGTGAAGAGAATAAGTGACAGTTTAGAGCTTCAATTCCTGTTTACTCTGTTCCATTTTGCTTTGAATCCACCCCTTCTGACGACATTTGGTACCAGTCGCGAGCTGAAATCGCTACAGCTGGAAAATTACAGATTGGAGAAGCAAATACTTCTTCATCAAATGAATCTGGGCAATAGAGAGCCCACGATGCAGGTTACAGGCTCCGATGGTACCGTCGACGCAAAACCGTTCAAGTCGGACGAACGTCCGCAGCATCGGCGAAGTCTGGCCACTGATCCAAGCAGATCCGCTGCTGCAAGTGGTAGCACCCCCTTGAGCTTGTCCAGTTATTTCAGCCGCGAGCATCTGCTGCATCGTCGCAGCTTTTACAGCGCCCGTTCGAGTCCGACGCCCGGTCGAGCGGGCACTTCGAACGAGGCGAACGCTTCGATGGCCTCCAAAATGTCATCAATCCCGACGACGGCGGCCACCAGCAGTTTGGCGCCGTCGAACCTGCCGTCCAGTCCCGTTCTGACGACGTCCAGAGCCAACAGCCCGGTCTGCACTACCCCCGGCTCGAGTACCGGGTCCAGCCGACACTTGACGGTCTCTGAGCCGTCTGCCGGCTGGAATCGGCGACGCACCAGCCACAGCTCGAACCCCAGCGTGGTCACCAGCCAACCGGGCGCAAAGGAAGACCGGTTGGCGGAAAGACAAGAGGTTGCAGGAGAAAAGGAGAAGAGATTGCCCAACGGGGAACACTTGTTGGTAGGCAGAAGCGTGAAGTTTACCAACTTTTCTGATCTTTTCCATTTAACAGATCACGCAGAATGAAGTACCAAAGGTGGAATTTTCCCACAATCATATTAGTTCTATTTGGCGTGAATAAAGCTGGTAGTCAAAATATATTTTTCGTATCAGTAAATCAGTAGTATGAGATGTATTCACCCTACTTCGTAAAAGGTGATGCAGGACTGGTAGTAGAATTTTTCCCTAATCATACGATTCAAGCTGACGTTTCCATTCAATTTCAAAATATAGTTTCGAAATCTACTACAACTGCTTCTCGCAACTGGGTCATGTTATCATGGCGACCCTATTGGATGCACCTTGTCTATATTCCTCTGGCAAAGTAGTTATCATAATTTCCAGAGTCAAACAGTGGACTTGGCACATTTTCAGACGCTGGGAATTATGATAACTACTAACGCAGAGGACTGTAGACAAGGTGTGTTCAACTAAATCGCATTGAAAACAATACCAATTTACAAAAAACAGGTCAGCCTACTTATATACATTGAAAGTAGACTGCCAAACCATCCTCTATTTCATACCTTAGAAGTAAAGATAGTTCAATGTAATACTAAACCTCAAGTCGTTAGGGTGATGAATTTTAACACAACTCTATGAGTAAATCTATTGTTTCCATTGAAGTTCACATGGACTTGCCTGCCAAAGGGTATTCTCGTCCCGAATCTACTTGAATGTATTGCAGTTTCGACCTCGCTGGTACCAGTCTCATCCTCGCCCCCAGTGACACCCGATCCGCGATAGTGATGCATGTAATCTGGACACGTCAACCGCAACGCCATCCTGACACGAGTGCACTGGGTCAGATATTTCGCCATATGCCTTCCTGTGGTGGGACCACCGATGAAGCAAAGTTGCATTTATTATGGCAATCGACTATACTACTTATTTTTCGTTGATAAGTAGGTGGATGTAAGTACTTCCAGTAGGTCATATATGAGATCAATTCAACCTATTTCATTGAAATGAATTGTTTGGTCTTCCTTGAAATTCACATCTGACCTGCGACGCAAGGGCACTTGTGGCAGTGTGTCATAGTGGTTAAAGTGTCGAGAATATACGCCGCACTATTACGGTTTGAGTCCCGCTAGGATGGTTGAGAAGATCCAAGAGCGGTTGAAGCAGCGACCCACTTTAGCCTAGATTTACATAACTTTTGGGAAGCAGGACTATGCGAAATCCAATGGAAACATGGGGTCTACTCATATGATTGTGTGAAAAATCACCTACTTTATCGTCCTTCATCGCTCAACCAAATAGGTTGAACATATCTCATTTGCCTGATGTGCTGGTAGTTAAAAATGAAAAAACCCACCTTTAGCGACACACCCTTAGGCGACATCGGAAGAAATGAGAGCAGCTAATTGTGTGAATAAGTGGATGGACCATATGAAGTGGGGTTGAGAGAAAGAGTTGCATCACCAGAAGGTAGAAGAAAAAAATAGGAGCAAGGATTGAGGCCACAACCGTTGAGCAGAAAATTGGTTGTTAGGACTGGTAACCTCATTGACGATGCCGGTGAATCGTTTGGAATTGTACCCACCCAATGGTCGAATGCTGTAAATCGTGAATGCTAAGGCAGAGCACATGGTACTTGGTACATTTCACAAGGTCTCCCTGACGCTCCGACAAAATTGTCAAAACAAGGTCGAACCAACTCTGAAATATACAAGTTTGTCTAATCGACAATTCTACCATAAAATGTGAACTGGAAAAGGCCTGGCTCAATGGCCGAATAGAACTCATGTCAAGATTACCCGTTGCAGTATCCCAACACGGGTTCGTGTTCATTCCGGTTCCTAATGACATCAAGACGAGATCTTAACTACAGTCCTCCTTGGATGAGAATACCTTTTTGGAAGCAATTCCAAGTGAAATTTCTTTGAAACGTAATGTCTACTTATATGATTGTTGGATAATTCTATTTTCAGTCTTTGATTACCATTTTCAATATTTACTAATATTTTTGTAATAATTATATATTTGACCAGTTCGGAAAGTCAACACTTTTATTTCGAAGCTATCCACATCTTCCAAGTGTACACATCTGTGGTGTACACTAAAGCAAATGCCATTGCCAGTTGCTGAGTGAATTGTCTCTAACTAATGACCAACCCCTCCAACTAGTGCAATAAATCCTGATTCTCTAATATCACAAATTCAGTCTGTTTCTATTTTAGATTTGCAAAAAATTTAGGTTTCTGGAAATCCCATGCGTTTAAATTGTTAGGATTACTTCCATTTTGGGTGGAAGTGTTTGATGAACAATTTCTGGGATCGATCTCATCAAAAGACGATAAGAGAGTTCCCTTGACCACTTGTCTTTTGGCTTTACTGGGACATTTTTGTTGATGATGTTTCCAAGACAATAGCTTTCGATTTCCATGAAGAAGTCGTTTGATGGACATCATCAGAGCAGGGAGGATATCATTCCTACGACCATGTTCTAGCCAAAACTCAAACAAAACGGGCAGTCAGGAAAACTTAACTATTTAGCTCGAATATGGTTGCAACAATTTGGCTCTGCTCTGATGACCTCCGTCATAACAGACGAAAGCTAAACTCATTTTCACCGGAATCGGAGGATATTGCTTCGGAAAAGGTGTCGACAAAAATGTACCAGTACATCCAATCGACAGCTGATCAAGTGGAATCTGATGTCGTCTTATGGTGAAGTCGACTCTTAAAGCTTTTCACCAAACATTTTTAATCAAACATGATCATTGCCAAAGTTGACCTTCAATTATTTCCACATGAGATGGTAAAGTTGTTTATAATTTAGATATGAAGAGTAACTAAATTTGGATTATTATTTTAACATAAAAGTGATGACCAGACTTTCATTTCGTGTGAAAGAGCATGATGAAGAGATTCGAATGTCGATCTCACTAGAAGATGACGACTTATTCCAATTGAACTGCAGTCATTTGGCATTAATAAGACTTTTGTCCCGACGCAATTCATGAGACATGCAGCCTCGTTTCAGGTGAAAATGGGTTGAGCTTTTCTCCATCACATGATGGACATCACCAGAGCTGAGATCCATTCTTGTAAAGGTGTAAAGCTAATATCAAATCAACTAAACTGATCGGCTCTATTTTAGACCTCATACATGTTCATATCTAAAAACGAAAATGCATAGACTTGGATAGATTGAAAAAGAATGATTCGGCCAAGTTTAATTTTTATTGAAGATGTTGTGCCCTCTCGTATAGTCGCAGTCTCCTCGTTGTCGCAACTTGGTCTTGTTGTCATGTGGACTTAGTAA